GCCCGCGGGGCGCTGGGCGGAGAACGGGGCCTGCGTGTGAGGAGGGCTGGTGCCGCGGTCTCTTGGTGTGTCTCTGGCCTCCCTTATCGCCTTTTCTCACTGTCTTTCTGTTTTCGTGCCTTTAGGGTTTGAACTTGTGTCTCAGTGGCTTTGTGTGCTGCTCTGGGCTCTGCTGCCTCTCGGTGACTCTTCCCCTGCCGCACAGCTCCGTTTTGCTGATGTTGCAGTAGCTCACCTCCCTCTCTGCTCTCCGGCCTCTTTTCTGGTTAATTCTGTTTTGCATCTTGAAGTCTTACCTTTTTTATAGCTAGCAACACTAGGATTTAATTTTTTCATATTTCTTTTCATAGCTAATGTTGCTAATTTTTTTAAATAGTGATTATGTTGAGCATTTTTGTTCCCCTTTAAGAAAATTCTGCTTAAGGTGTTGTAAACAAAACTAAGCAAAGATTATGCACATGTATAGGTGTTTTTAAAACCTGGAGAGAGGCTTCAAAACATCGTGTTTCTATGTATTTTGGGAAATAATGGCTGGATAAAGTAGAGATTCTGCTTGTGGCTTCAGTAGGGAAGAGGTTAGAAGTGAGTTACAGTCTAAGTAGAAAGCTAATTAATGATCTTGTAACCCAGTCTTGTAATCAAGATGTCATATAGGGTATGAAGGGAGCTGAAGTTAGGATTTGGAGGGCTTTGCCACTCACCTGGCTTAAGATTTTGGTTACTGCTTTTGGAAAAATGTAGCCTCACTCTTTCTAGTAACTATTCAACATCTAGCTGGAGTAAACAAAAGCTGTAAGATTTCTCTCATATTCATGCCATTGCAATTTGTTTTTCAGATTTTTAACTTAAAAGCTGGTATCTTTAAACAAGGAGGTCTTCTGCTATCATGACTTCCCATGGGTTTTAAAGAAACTCAGCAATGTGAAAACTAGTATCTGTTGCTTTAATGCAGCAATAAAGAACAGCTTCTGCTGTAGTATCTGCAGAACACTAATTGATAACTGGATGAAGGACATGTAATGCCATGTGTTTTTGAGGATGATTGTGTGGTGTTATTGCATGTTTCCTCTCTTAGCCGCCTTGAACGAAGGTGGCGTGATCCTGAGGGCAGGAACTTGTAAACACTTAAATGTCCATGATCATAATGCTGAGGAAGGATCTTTAGTAGTACCATAGTGTGTTTGAGCAGTGTTCATATAGCTGCACGTGGAGATAGTTGTGCTTCCTGCAACTGAGAGCTCTTTCTGCACTACGTGGAAGTATGTGCATCTCTGCTTAAATGATGAACACTCTTAAATAATGAACTGAATATACCATAGAATTGTAGAATGCGTTGGGTTGGAAGGAACCTTTAAAGGTCATCTAGTCCAACCCCCTGCAGTGAGCAGGGACAACCTTAACTAGAGCAGATTGTTCAGAGCCCCATCAAGCCTGACCTTGAATGTCTCCAGGGATGGAGCCTCCACCACCTCTCTGGGCAACCTGTGCCAGTGTCGCACCACTCTCATAGTAAAGAATTTCTTCCTAACATCTAATCTAAGCCTACCCTGCTCTAGTTTAAAACCGTTGCCCCTCATCCTATCTCTACAGGCTCTTGTAAGCAGTCCCTCCCCAGCTTTCCTGTAGCCCCCTTCAGGTACTGGAAGGCTGCTATAAGGTCTCCCTGGAGCCTTCTCTTTTCCAGGCTGAACAACCCCAACTCTCCATGAGCAGATTAATGCAAATACTGTAGAAGGTGACAGCTACAGTTAGTCTTCCTCTTTTGTTTGTGTACAATCTTTCTGCATGGGAAGGGAAGGGTAGCTTAAAAATTGGGGAGTGACAGGAAGATGGAAGAAATGTCAGAAAGCATGTATGCCCATAAATTCCTGATTTAGAGAGATAGGTGGCATGTTATCTCTTCTACACGTAGTACAGGACTTAAAGTTGTTCCACACACAGTCTTTTGATGTAGTAGATGCTTTTATCAGGCCAGAGGAACAGAGCTAAACAAATTAATATAACAGTGTAGCCACGATGATGTGGGGGTATAAGGAAAATATAGATAATAGGATAACATTGATTTCTTTTGCTAGACTGATTGATTCACTTGGAGGACAAAAGCCAGGCAGGCTCTTGGGCACTTGCTTAACATTTTTGATGCCCTCTACGTGCCCTTGGATAGACAGATGCAAAATATCGGCAGATTCCATGGCTAGGAAGAGTGTACTTTTAGTTGAATGATTAAAAAGCATTGCCCTGTATTTAGTATTTGAAGAAAAACTGAAGAAAATCTGACTTCATTTGGAACTGAACAGATAATGTAATGCAGCAAATCCAGTATTTCAAGACTGGATACTATTATCAGTAAATACTTTTGGATGCTTTATGCATGAAATCTGATGTCTAACCTGTACTGTCACTTCATCTGTTTCCAGCATATACTGCTCTTTTGTCTCTGGCCCTTGGCTCCTTTTTTTACTTTTTCATGGGTCTGTATGAGGGATCGAAGTTACTTTGACTACAATGCATTTTTTTCTTTCTTGTTTTTTTTTTTTTTGAGATAGTTCTAGGTTTTCCTGTTCTCTGCATCCATTTTCTCTCTGTTCCTTGATTTCCTGTCCCTAACCTCCTTTCCTGTATGGATTTCTAGATCTCAGATGTGCTGCCATGTAGCTGTTGCAGTTAGAAGCTTTGTTCCTATTGAGCATATACATAAGAGCATGTTTCTATTTAAGGTCTTTGCTGTCTTGCTGGAACACACTTCACACAGAGAGAGGTCACAGTAAATGTTTTCTTTAAAAGTAAGTAATGCAGCAGATGAAGCCAAAATGAGACTCTGAATGCTTGATTATGGTCTAACTTTGGCATGAGTAGAAAGATTATGATAAATCATGACAATACAGTGGCTGTGCCCTGTATATGAAATATACAATATATATATATAGTAAGTATAGAAAAACTGTTTCTGGGATGTTAGGAGGATTAGGCAAGCTTACTGGATATATGCTGATAGTCATTTACTTTTCAATATCTAACCATTCCATTTTTGATACACAGGAACTTTTTCAGGATGGAGAGCTACGTGTCTTTGCTTTGCTGGATTCTTGTGATCATCTGAGATAGTCTGACCCTCATCCACCTTATCTTTCTGACAAGGCACATCCGTTCTTCAGGAGAGGTTTTCCCCATAGTACACACTGAACCTTGAACAGTTAAGCAGCACACCAGAAATGTAAGTTTGATGTGTAATTATGAGACTTAAGATCAAATTTATGCAGCAAATTATTTTTTCTCATCTACTGCTTTTGGTAAGTTATTGCCGTAGAAATAATAATGAACCTTTGACGTTGGTGAGGAAATAGGAATACTGTGTTTAAAGAAAATAAAATGCATCTGGGAGTTTTTAGCAATTACAGTTGTAATGAGAGATTGTGGTTTTACTAAACATGAGGTAAATTTCATCTTGGTGCTTCAGCTTCTGGAGAAGCTGACTTCATCTGTACTTTAGGGGAACGGGTACAGTTCAAGGACAGATCTTTAAAGATATCCTCACCCACAAAGAGGAGATTTGGAGTACCTGAGTTCCTGTAGCCATTTCTAGTATGTTTATAAAAGCCAAAACTGCAATATGTACCAGAATCTTCCTTATGGAGAGGCAAGGGTTATTTTAACTATGAGGTAAATAAGTGTTATTGAATGACACATGAACAGTCTTTGCTATGGTAATTACCTATTTAATTTTTAGTAATGTGATCTCCAGAACATGGGACAGTTAACAGAGCCAGTCTCAGAACAGCCTAAGTTGACTTTTTTCTATGCCCTTTAGAGAGAAACGGATATTAAAGGAAATTCCAAATAAGCATTAGAAATTGTTCAGTGTATTATTTAGAAGAAACATAAGTCTCAGCTCAATGAAACAAAAATTGCATTCTGGATAGCACTGATTTATCAGTGCCTCTGGCTTCATAGTTGGTTTGTTCATGTTCTTTTTTTCTTTCTCTGTATAGGCCTTGCTTACAGCTATATTTGGGATGTGCTACCTTGTAGTTTTATTAGACCATTCAGAGTACTTCATTTTGTAAAAGAAGGAACCATTTTTGGAACTTAGTGCTTTTTTTACTTTTCTGCAAAAGTATTATAAAGTCATGTTTTGAACATCTTTCCAGGCTGCAAAATTTGTTAAAGTAATGCTGACACCTTTTGATAGTAGTAATGTAGCTGGTGCTTTTGCAGACTAAATCTTGAAGTTTACGCAAAAATGCTTGGGTTTTGAACGTACTGAAATACATCTCTATAGACCAGACTTAATATTCTTGCTGGGCCACTTCTAGTACAGGAAGAACATCAAACACGCTGACTTCTGCTGTATAAGCAAGCTCTGTAAACATGACAGTCATTCTAGTTTATGGTCTCTGGTTGGGGAAAGCTGGGAGTCTGCTGCTTTTAAAGAAATGCAAAGTTAGAATGACTAATGATCTAAAGATTGTGAGACTTCCTGAAAGTGGTGCCAGTTTTATTTTTTAGATAGCAGAGTTAGAGGTGGATGAACTTACCTTATGCCATTCAATTCTACCTCTCTCAATAATTCATCTATAACAGATCTAATATCTCTGGGCCTTCCAGCATCTTTTCATTGACTTGTTATACCAGAATATGATTCTTCATCCTGATGAAGACATCCTATTGACTACTGTTTTAGAATGGTACTTGTATTTCATATCTGGCTTACCCATCAAGATCTGTAGTCAATCTTAGCAACTGATTGTAACTGTTGGGTACTTACTATGGGTCATGGTACTTCTGTCAAGACCTTTCTGGCTTGAATCAACAGAGAAATTTTGTGGGTGATAAAGCCTGTTAGGACCTCTGCTTCTGTGATGCTTTTTGTCATGGAGATGTTAGAATTTGAGCCCCTGGCTTTTGTTGTAGCCTAGGCTTGGATACTTGCTAAATATTGAGAATGTATGGCTTCTTAAAGCACTAAGGGAATCTTCTGGGGAAAGAAAATCTTCAGGATGGGATAACCTTGTGTTAAACAGAAGATACAGAAGCTTGTTTGCTTTTGGTGTAGAGGTTTGGCTACGTAATGTAGGAAGTAACTACATCTCTCTAATAGATTGCTAGATGTACATACACAGTAAGAAACGTGAAAACTTGTGATAACAGCTTCTAGAGTATTAACAGATTGTGATGGGAAGGTGATATGAGTTGGGATGATGGCTGAAATGTGAGAATATCAAATAGAGGAAAAAATGTCATTTTCCTAACCAGAGCTCACCTGTGCTGCATCTGTTGAAAATACCAAGCATGTTTGTGTGGGGTTGGGTTTTTTTCACTGTCTGCTGGAAGAAATACTCAAGCTTCCTGTGTGTCTCCAGCAGACATTGTTATAGCAGTGTTGTTTGGCATTTATTGAGTGGTGGACCTATTAAGTCTTCTAATGAAGTGTTGGATAACTACAGTTTCAGTATAGTTTAATTTGCTGTGCCTCTGCTGATCTGTGTTGGTCTGAAAGTTAGACCCTTAGGGTCAACAGGTCAGTCTTGAGTACCACTGCACTATGATATATTAATTGAGACTTGAGGGTGAGGGACATAACTTTTCTTGCATTTATTTAGACATGCTGTCAACTGCAAACTTGGATTTAAATTACCAACTTAATAAATTATTGCAAAGACTTACATATAACATCTGATAGCTAAACTACTGTTAGAAAAGATTTTAAAAAAATAAAATCTTTTTTTCAAAATGCCAAGTTCAATGACACTCACTTTTACCTTGACTTTATTTTAGCATTCCCTACATTTTTTCTTTTTCATAAAATATGAAAATATAAACCTGCATGCACTCTGCCCTGATTTGTACTTAGGTAGGACCTTGTAAGCCATTACCTAGTTAGCTTGTTCTTTAGAAAGAATCCTGTCCCTGGACTTTTGTTTTCACCCATAATATCTTTTCACACTTATATGTATCTATTGAACTTGCAAGATTGTGACTCTCTGTCCCTGTGTTCAGAAGATTCCTGGGACCTCTTACTGTCACAAACTGTGCAAAATAATGCTGCAGATGCATACTGGATCTCTTAAGGTATATGTTTGTTTCCTTACTGATATTATTTATTTCTCCTAAAATCTTTTCACATAGAGATGTGTGGCTCATCACTGTCATCACAGCCTTAATTCAGCTAAGGCTTACCAAGAGTTATTCATTGTTTGGTTTAGTTTGTATGTAAAAAGCAGTGATAATTTTCAAATATCTCCCTGTCTTCATGGCTAACTACAAGAGCAGATGTTTGGAGTTAGATATTTGTCTGTGACTTTGCCCACTTCTAGCCAATTTTATTTACAGTTCTCCAACACAATGTCAGTTACAATGAAGATTTATAATTTAGTTTTCAGATTATGTTATTGCAAATTATTTTTTCAAGTATTAAGAGTAAAATGTAGGCATGCAGACAGAGGTTTATATAGGGAACTGAGTAAAGAAAACTATCTCTTTTTTGTGTTAGTAAGCTGCCACCTACATCAGTCATCCTGTTGTGTCCTTTGAAAATGGAATCTGGCTTGTTTTTTGGAAAGACACCAAGAGTTAGCCCTTCCTGGACAGAGAGATGACTATAGAGAGGTTAAACGTACATAATTTTGTCCTAATAATGTTCTTACTATTTACTTTTGTAAGCCTCAAATTACTTCAGTTATGTAGACATAATTCTTAGTAGCTGACAAAGTATAAAAACTTGCTTTAAGGTTCTCCCAGCCTGCACATATGCTGTGTAGTTGTCTTTGATGCTTGATGTGTGAATTTTCCTTATCTTGTGACTAGTGTCTCCTGGGTAGCTCTGCACTCCACCATGAGTTTTTAGTTTGTGTTGGGTTATATTTCTTAACAAAGGAGACATTCCAGATAGGGATTAATGCAGAAGTTGAATATTATTTATTACAAGCAATGTAATATAGTAATTTGTTACATATCCCGTACTGGTTCACTTATATTCAGTGATTTATCTTTATGTAGTCTCTAAGAATGAATCCTTCTGGATAGATATCTAGGCAGTAAAAATGCGAATCTGGACAAGGAACTATTTCAAAACATTTGATGTAGAATCTCAGTGGTAATGATAAGTGTACCATATTTGAATTACGTGTTCCTCTAGAGAAGGGTAGTGCTAAAATTGAGGCACAGTAATAATAAACTGATATTTTTCAGAGCACACATCACTGTCAAACTGTACATGTATTATGTTAAATAAAAAATATGCCCATTACAGAGAGGAAGTAATGCTAAAAGATGGATTGTAAGTACATCTTTGTATTGAAATTTGTTATTTCTACTGTAAGTTATACTTATGATGGAAAAGTTAATATTGATAAAACTTCAAGTTTATAGTATCAAGTTTTCTTTTCATATGAAATATCTTTGAGAGGTGTGCCTGTAGGGTGACTTATCCAAGGTAGTTTAACCCAGCCTTACAGCTCTTATGAAATGAAAACCTCTCCTTCCTTCCATTCCTTTCTCTTGTCTGTATGGTGAAAGAGTTGAGAAGGAGCAGCAGAAACATCAAGTAAAAACATAAAAATTCTCCCCAGTTTTTTTATGTAGTTGTTTGTGGGATTTTTCCCTGAGCCAGGTCACTGTGAAACCTGACAAATGCTCGTTCCCTTGGTGTTTATTGAAGTGGTAGAAGTGTATGGCTAGGAGGGGCATGGCCTCTTGGTCATCCTAAGCTGTGGATTCAGGATGTGATTTGATGCAATACTCATCAGCTATTCAGGCAACATATCTCACTCCCAATTTTTTTCAAACACCTCTTTGGAAAGGATTACTGTGAGCCATGGACTAATCATAGAATACATTGGGTTGGAAGAGACCTTCAAAGTTCGTCTAGTCCAACCCCCCTGCAGTGAGCAGGGACATCTTTAACTAGATCAGGCTGCTCAGAGCCCCATCCAGCCTGACCTTGAATGTCTCCAGGGATGGAGCCTCCACCACCTCTCTGGGCAACCTGTGCCAGTGTTTCACCACCTTCATAGTAAAGAACTTCTTCCTAATTCTAATCAACTCTGCTCTAGTTTAAAACTGTTGCTCCTCATCCTATCGCTACATGTGCTTGTAAGCAGTCCCTCCCCAGCTTTCCTGTAGCCCCCTTCAGGTACTGGAAGGCTGCTATAAAGTCTCCCTGGAGCCTTCTATTCTCCAGCCTGAACAACCCCAGCTTTCTCAACCTGTCCTTGTAGGAGAGGTGCTCCAGCCCTTTGACCATTTTTGTGGCCTTCCTCTGACCTGTTTCAATTTTCCTGTGTTGAGGGCTCCAGAGCTGGACACAGTACTCCAGGTGAGGTTTCACCAGAGCAGAGCACAGGGGCAGAATCACCTCTCTCGATCTGCTGGCCACACTTATTTTGATGCAGCCCAGGATGCAACTGGCCTGGGCTGCAAGGGTGCATTGGTGGCTCATGTCCAGTTTTTTGTCAACCAGTACCCTCGAGTCTTGTTCCACAGGGTTGCTCTCTAGCTCATCATCCCCCAGTATTGATAATGTGAATTGCCCCAGCAGTTAAGTACTGATTCCTTTTGCTCGTCTAAGTTGGTTTCTGCCAGGAAATTTACTTATGTAACTATACTGACAAAAGCTTAATAAAATATTTATAACATAATATGGTTGCATCTCAAGCTGCAAAATATATGAGTGGCTTTCCCATGGTAATTAAGGTGAGCTGCATCTTCAGTAACTTCACTGCTTGTTAACCTTATGTCTGCAGATGGAGGAGGAGGACCTAAGTGAAAGAGGGTTGCCACAAATTGCTTCAATCATGAATAGAGTCAGAGACTTGAAAAACAAATACAGAAATGACGACAATATCACAGATGAGCTTAACTGTACTAAAGTCTCAGCTGACACGACAGGTATGTGTTTCTGTTACTCTTGTTGCTTATACAGCTGACTGAGTGAAAGAACCATTAAATGAAGGGATTTAAGGTTTAGCATTTCTTCAATATTAATGACCACGGAATACATTTAGTCTCTCCCTATTTCTTTAACTGTGGTGCTCTAATCTCATTTAAAAAAAAATTTCAATCATCTTACATGAAAGCTTATACAAAGTGTTTTCTTCTGTTTGCTGCAGTTTTAATCAATCTCCTCTGTTCTCCTTTTCTGTCAGATAACTCTGGAACTGTTAATCACATAATGATGACAACAAATAATCCAGAAGATTGGCTGTGTTTTTTGCTTAGGCTAGAGAAAAAGGGTATTCCTCAGACAGATGTGAGCCTACTGAATAGACTCATCGGTCGTTATAGTCAAGCAGTGACTGCACTACCTGCAGAAAAGCATAGTCAAGATGAGAGCTACGCTCGCATCCTTGTGAGATTTGCTGAATTGAAGGCGTAAGTATAAAATTTCTGTGTAAGAACTCGTCATTAAGAATTCTGCATCTGAATTACAAATAAAGCTTGTTTTCTTCAGTGGTTTCTGCAACAAATTATCAGTTTGAGTGGGGACATTTTCTTGTTGGCTCCTTGAAACTCTGTGCAGCTTTGGCTAGTCAGCTTATCTGTTCTCTCCACAGTATTTGCATTTTCTTGTATAAGCTAATAAACGTGATTGTTCAGAGCTATTTGTTTAGAGATCTTAGCACATTTTTTGTGGGTTCTATGTCTAAGGTACATGGGGAAATAGCATGAGACCTTTTTTTTCAGCTTTGTATTTCAAAAGAACCTGCGTGGATGAAATCTTGATATAACTATAATCTGTATATTAATTTAGGTTAGGATTATAGACTGTAACTGATTTGTCTGCGAGGTAGGCAATTTGCTATTATCTATTTCACCTAGTCAAACTGTAGTCATCCATCCTTGTATAGAATCATAGAACAGTTTCAGCTGGAAGAGACCTCGAAGATCATAGAGTCCAGCCTTTGTCCCAGCCCTATGAACATACTAAAATATGTGCCCCAATGCAACATCCACCCATCTCTTAAACACCTCCAGGGACGGTGACTCAACCAGCTCCCTGGGCAGCCTGTTCCAATGGCTGACAACCCTTTCAGGACTGACAACCCTTCCAGTAAAGAAATTCTTACTAATATCTAACCTGAACCTCACACAGCATAATTTAAATTTATTTCCCCTTGTCCTACCACTCTCCGCTCGGAAGAACAGACCAACCCCTGTCTCTCCACAACCTCTCTTCAGGTAGTTGTAGAAAGCGATGAAGTCTCCCCTCAGTCTTCTCTTCTCCAGCTAAACAGCCCCAGATCCCTCAGCCTTTCCTCATACGACTTGTGTTCTAAGCCCTTTACCAGCTTGGTAGCCTGTCTCCGTACCCTCTCCAGCACCTCAGTGTTCCTCTTGTAGTGAGGGGCCCAAAACTGGATGCAGTACTCGAGGTGCGGCCTCACCAAAGCAGAGTACAGGGGCATGATCACCTCCCTGCTCCTGCTCACTACACTGTTCCTGATACAGGCCAGGATGCCATTGGCCTTCTTGGCCACCTGGGCACACTGCTGGCTCATGTTCAGCCATCTGTCAACACCCCCAGGTCCCTCTCTGCCTGGCAGCTCTCCAGCCACTCCTCCCCAAGCCCGTAGCGCTGCTGGGGATTTTTGTGGCCAAAGTATAGTCTTCTTTCTCCCTTATTAGGAAAGACTTATCCCAGCAACGTTAAATGAGCTGTCTTAGGGTAGGAAAAATATCTTGGAACATCATTCTATCCTTTCATACTTATGAAATTAGCTTTGATTGTGGTCATTTTTTGGTTTATTTAGTCCAAATTTGAGCAGTGTGGTTTGATGTTTTCTGACATAATTTGGGACAAGGTTATAACTTTATTTTTTTGTAAGGCGTTCTTTTATCACTTGAAATATTACAGCAAATACTTTGAGCTATGTTTAACACTGGAGCAATCCTTAACAACTAGAATTGAGCAGGTGGTGTTCCCATGAATATAGCTAGTTTTTTTTCTGCTTCTTGCATCTCTTCCTATTTGGCTTTTTGACAGGTGGCTTGATCTTGCAGTATGGTATTGTCTGCTTCTTTTTCTGTGCTGTCATTTGTATGGCTCTTAACTGCATCAGTATTTGCTGAAAGCATACAATGGAAGTAATCTGTTTGAATCTACTGTTGAGAAACAAGCAGAAGTGAATAATGACTTGTTGGGAATCCTTAGTATCTTGAAGAGGTAAGGCAAAGCCCATCTTCCAGGAAAGCCTCCTGTCTTAAAAGATCCTGAGAGACTATAGTCTTGTTGAAAGGTTAGTTTCTTTTCCTCAGAACACAAATTGTTTAACATGGGCTTCCAGCTCATGCTTTCTGGAATTTCTTTTCCAGAGTGGTGATTGGATGCTACTATCAAGTCACATTTGGAATCTCGTGCATAGGAGATGTTTAAATTCAGAAAGATTATTTCCTACCTTTCTAATCACTTTGAAACTCTTGGATCTATTTCCATTTGACTTTTTCTTAAAACCTGAATTTAAAGGTGGATAATTCTAAAATGAGTACTAGAACTATGTTCAATATTTTGTGTTTGCAGAAGGCAAAACTGAAGGCACTGTCAGTAGCCTGTTAATGGTAGAATGCATGAATATTATTAGCAGCTTTAGTTGCCATGTCCCACTGAAATGTCTTTTAGTTGCTTCACTGCTACAGCCTTTAGGGAGCTGCTTGGGAGAGTAGTCTGTCTTGTTTCACTACTAAAATGCACTCTATAGCTTTATACTAAAATACCTTCTGCTTTGGTAGCCAGCATTGCTGTAGAATCTACCTAGCTTAACGGGTAGTTTCAGATCTGCTCTTTTTGTCTTCTGCTTCATATTTTTAACGGAAAAATACCATCAGTCGTGTTTTTCCTGACTTGCTAAAGAAAATTTTTTATGTTTTAAGATCAACAACCCACTTCCAAACCACTCTAAAAAAAAAAAATGTACCTGCCAAAATCTGACATGGCATCAAACCCAACTGAACTTTGATATAAGTATCTCTGTAAATGCTGGCCCCACATCTGAAAATTACTTTGAGAGATTACCCATTTCTTAATCATTTATTTTAAGCTAATGCTTCCTTGTTTGGAGTGGTGTGTAATTTCACTTATATAAACCTACATTTACAAACTACACATGTGTAATCACACCAGTTGCTACACGTGTAATCACACCAGTTGCTTTTGACTGATCATATCTAAAAAACAAGTGTTGCATATCTGTACTTTTTTGAGATTAATGTTAAGTTAATCAGCGAGTGGTTTCTTGGGGTTTTTTGTTTGGCGTATTCACTCATAGCTCATAGTTTGCTTGATGTTTGAGATCTTCCTGGTGTTTCATACTCACTTTCTCTGTTCCTGGCTGTCAGTTTTTCTGGTACTATTTTGTCTCTGCTCAGTTTTCAATTCTGTTAAAGGAAATCCTCTCATGTCATGACTTCCTAGAGTGCTACTGACCTACTTATTTTAGCTATTACAAACAAAGCAACTCTTTGATATGTAAGTACTTTGTTGATACTACCTTTGGTAGAAGAAAGGTGCTCTTCAGTATAGCTCTTTTTGCTGTTTTCCCAAATGTTCCACGTAACAGGAAGGGCAAGTGAGAGCATCACAAACTTCTGAAGCAGTGACAGTGGCTTGGGATTTTATTGTCTGTTGGCATCAGCACTGTTTTCTTCTGATAAAAGCTGGATTATTCCATTCTTGGCACTGGACCTGTATTGTCCTAGGTTCTTTTGCTGCAGTCTGACTATGCCGAAACCATTTGACCTGTTATGATATTGAGATTGTTTCAAGGGTTCTTCAGTGTGCTCTGAAACAGGGAAAGGTGAACAGGCAGCTGTATCAGCGACTGATTATCCGTATCATGCACTAGCTGTCCCAGGCCTGCTTTAGTGTAATGCTTCTGACTGCAGCACAGTGCCACCAAGCGTGCAGCATTCGATGCCTCTTGCTGACATTGAGTCTTGTTCTGCATATTGCTATCCAAGTTGTTGCTTGCTTTCTACAGGGACTTGAATTTTAACATCCTTTTTGAAAGTGATTGTAATTCATGTTAATTTCTGTTACAGTGACTTTGTCTGCAGATGGGTTATTCTGTGCCTGTCCTATTGCTTTGGATGATCAGAACTGAGTTTATTAAACTTAGTGGAGTCCAGTAACATGCCTAAACTATGATAGACTTTTCTCCTTAGTGCCACAGAATTCTACTGAAAATATGTTTTTGTTAGCTTTCAGTTGTCTTTTCTGTACTTTTTAAGCCATTGTCATAAATTTTTCACTATCCTTACTTTTAAGTACTACCTTGGCTTACCTGTTAAAGGAATTTCTTCTAAAATTCCACCTTGGTTTCTTGATTGTGGATTTTGCTACTAAAAGCGTTAAAAGAACTCTGTTACTTTAATATTAGAAAGGGGAGTCCACTGAGATGTAACGTTAATTTATTTCATAGCAATAACATATTTGGGCCTTTTCTGTTTTGAGTATTCACTTAAGCTGTAGATCTTCTAGGAATATATAAATGTTGGTATACTATGTGCAAGCATCTTGGTTGTCCTACTTAGCAATCTATGGCTGAATGTAAAACTAGGATTCAAGTTTAGTAAAAGTGTTAAATGTGAAGTGTCTTGTCTGGACTTTGTGACACAATCTCTAAGTTTTTTTATTAAACCATGTTTTCAATAGCTGCTGCTTGTGTGTCTGCAGAAAACTATTGAATACATGCTCTGATAGCAAATTTAACTGATGTGATTGTTGCCCAGGAGTAGAGGGGAAAAAAAATCATGAATTCCATATGCCTTCTAAGGATCTATAGGATGCTTGAGGGAGGTAGCTGTGTGAAGAATGTTCTTGTTGTGTTCTAGTTTTCTGTAAGTATGGTGTTATAGATGTACCAACAGAAACAACTTCTTTCAGTGACCTGCATCTCTGCTAAGGGAGTATGACAATCTGGATCTGGTTGGAGAAGCACTTGAATCCAGTATTGCTTTAATGTAATGGACTGGAGACTTTGTGACTCTATTGCTGCAGTATAAATCATGATGTATATAGTACTTCTTCTGCCTTGATTAATAAGTTTCATGATCTCCTTGTCATCCTGCCTTACAACCTCCTTGGTACAGGAACAGATGCATCTAGAAGAATGGAGATTATTCTCTGTCAGCATGTAGTTTGGAAGGGCTACTGGTGGATGTACTATACAGATTAGTGGGTGTTCCGAGGGAGAAAATCTACATGTTTTGAGGAATAATGTAAGCAGTGACAAAGAAAGAGTCCTTAATTATTCTGTTTGGTTTAAGCATTCTGGCTTTTGGAAAGGATCAGCATGATATGTTTTAACTATTAGCTTTCTGGTGCACTCTTGCTTATTTTGTACTTCACTGATGGCTCTAAGGAAGAGAAACTTCAGCTATGGGCTGACTGCTTTTCCAGAGTTATCTAAAGCTGTCACTCAGCACATGGAACTTCAGCTTTGTTACTGGGGCTCTCCACCTTGTTTAACTATTGATATGCTGTCTCTACAGTCTTCAAGATCCAGAGGAGGCACGGGACCAATTTCATCTGGCCAGACTGAACTGCAAGAAATTTGCTTTTGTGCATGTGGCTTTTGCACAGTTTGAGCTATCACAAGGTGTGTAGAAAAACTTGTTTGGTGTTGCTGTTCTATGTTCTGGATTTTGTTGTTTTAAAATAAGTCTGCCCTGTTGCATAGTTTGTAAGGAAAAAGAAAAATCTGTATTTTCTTCTGTTTTGATTGAAATTTAATGAGAACATGTGTGTTCATTTTAGTGAAAATATGTGCTCACTTCTTAATAGGTTTTACCCTTTTAGGACTAGCATTGAAACAAGATGAAAATTGACACTAATTCTGTGGTACGGATTTTTAATTTTTTTTTTTTTAAAGCTTAGTGTTCTTCAAGTGGGAGGTATGAATAAGGCTTTTACTGCGTTGAGAAATGATGCTCAAATTTCAGTGGTAATTTTCCTTTAGATAATTTCAGCTTGCTTGTGGAAGAAATCTGACTCCTTCCAAAGAGCAACTATAGATTCTTTGGGTGGGTGTGGATTTTTTTTATTTTTTATTATTAAACCACAATATGCTATAAATCATCATGTGCAGTTTGGTCCAATTGAATTTTACTTTCTGCCACTTGGATTCTTAAGTAGCTACCAATTGGATTTTAGTTGATTCTTCTGTTTCCCGTTCCATTTTTGAACGTTCATGTTGCGATAACAGAGATGATTCATATCTTCTGTTGCTTTATAAATGCCATGAACTGACATCTTTGACAGTATCAGATGTCATGTTCCAGTTAGTTGCAGCAGGGGATGGTTTGTCAATATTCAAAGTAGAATTGTGGTCTTTGCCAGATGGTGCAATACAGGAGTGTTTTATCCATTCTGATATGAACATGATAATGTTTCTTAAAAATTCTCATTCCCTTCTTTATCCTGTTCCTTGGTGTACTGGATCTGGCTTGGGTGGGGTTAACTTTCTTTGGAGATCATAGGATGCTGTGGTTTAGATCTGCAACTACGACAGTGTCAGTAACCCACCAGTGTTTTAGCTGTTGCTGAACAGCGCTTGTGCAGTGTCGAAGATTTCTGTTACTTGACTTCCGCTTTGTCCAAAGGCTGGGAGCAGGCAAGAGGGTGGCAGGGGCTGCAGCTGGGACAGCTGGCCTGAACTGCCCAAAGCATCGTGCTCAGCGGTGAAAAAAACATGGGAGATAGTCTTTCCACAACAGCAGATACTTGGAGACTTGCTGGGCATTGGTCTGCTGGTAGATGTTGAATGATTGTTTTTGCATCACTTTGTTCTTTTGTTTCTTCCTTTTTTCCTTCACTTATTAAACTCTTCATGAGTTTTTTTTCTTGGTTTTGTTCTTCCAATTCTCCTTCCAGACTATTCTAGACTGTGCAAGTTATGCTCTAATAAGTCTAGAACAACGGGACTTCAATACTTTAGGCCAATAGTCCACAAAGTTCGCCTGGGCTTATGCCACTTCTTTCCTGTTGTGTGCAGGGGAGGTAGCCCTGGTACTTGGGAGGCAGGGCTGTGCTGCCTACACACAGGCTTGCATATTTGGATGTTTTTTAATCTTTTGTACATGTGTGATTTGAGCAGTGATGTATGTTGCCCCATTTATCTTCTCCCTTTAACAGCTTGCTCTGTGTAGAAAGACAAATGCATTGTATTAAAGCTGTTTTCTTCTTTAAAAGGAGAACCCTCAGTGGATATATTCTGAGTTCTTGTTGCTTGTTTTTCTTTGTGATTTCTGTCAGTATTGCGCAAGCATACTGCCTAGTGTGACAAATTCTCCTTAAAATTAACTACAAGAAATAATTAAAGGAGACTAAACTGTCTTCTGTTTGCTGGATTCTGAATACATCTTACTAGATATTCCCTTTTTACTTCTGTTGCTTAGAGAAAAAAAAACCTGCTTGTGTAAAATAGACTTTTGGTCCAGTGCTTTTTAACTATTTTAGGATACAATTTAGATATTCCAAGTGTGTCCCATGAAGAAGAAACATTTTATTAAAATAATTTCTCAGGCTTTCTGTTTTTTTTTCTTAACTAAGTTTATTTGCAATCAAGCAGGAAAGGCTGTGAGAATCCCCTTCAAATATGTGCCATATAAAATAATTGATGGAGGAAGGTACTGAATGTGACTCCCCAACAGTATGGGGAGAAGACAAAAATCTGCGTATTTGTGACTTGAAATTCCATATTTTTTCAGATGAGTCAGTCATCTGACTGGTCTTGTTCTAATATAAACTTGTGATGTTGAACTTACAGATGGTAGTAAAAAGTAGCTAATAATTTTTGGGAGCACTGTATCTTTATTATAAAAGAATGAAATAGTAATACCGAAGTAATAAAGACACTGTCAAATAAGTGTAATAAGCAAAGCTTATTGTGTAATTCAAGTAAAGTGTAGAAATGTTACTATTGCTTACCAATGACTAAATTCATCCTTCTGTTACCCTGTAGTTATGGGATGTGTCCATGCAGCAGTTTCTCTTAGTTTGACAGCAAATAGTCAACCTAGAATGAAGTCCTAATCCCAAAGGAATAATCTATTTACGATTGGCTTTGCTTTATCTCCAGTGTGCTCTCTGATTGGTATCTGGTATCCTTAAGCCTGTCTGTTTGCCATTTAGCAATGTGTATGGCGCTGCACCGTCTCCGCTGGGTGCTTCCTTTGAAGGGATTAATGGAACATGTGAGTCATATATTGTTGCTCTGAGGGCTCTTCCTTTTTGACTGAGCATGTCTAGTTTAGGCCAGGGGGAAAGGAGGAGAGTAGTGCTCTGTAACCTCCTTATCCCTGTGATTTCAGCAGTGCTTTGGCACACCTACCCATTGCTTTTGGATTAATCTGTATTTCTCTTCGCTTTAAGAGAAAAAGTTAATAGGTGTTTTGGCATTGTGTTATTTCTTATTCAATGAGGCACATGATACTAGGAGGAATTACTTTCGTTCTCAGTAGCAAGTCTTGTTGAAGCAATATGTGGTTGCTAAATATAGCCAAAGATAAAGTGCTGGTTAAGGATTTTTACAAAAGAACCCCAGTAAACGTACTTGCTTGCTAAGGATTTGGGACAAAAAATAGTATTTCATTATATAGTTAAAGAACAAGTCATAGTAAATAAGCACAAAATAGATTTCAGTGAAATTATAGCAAGAAAACACCAAAATCAGATTTGCTTCAGTGTCATACATCACCCATTTAATATCATAGAATCATAGAATGGCACAGGCTGG